TTTGTACAGAGTTAAAACATCCTATAATATTATGGTCATTTGCAAACATCCATCAAATCTGCTTTTTAGAGCTACTCGTTTTTCGACATTCGCCAATATCAAAAAGCAAAGAGAAAGGGCACTTTTTTTATGTGAATCCACTGCTCAGGCATCCTCATTTATGATATCAATAGTTCGTTTTAGAAAATTTAACCAAATGTGTTTTGGAGACATTCAGTAGATATACATCCATCAAATCTGCTTTTTCGAGATTCAAGTTTGAATATCGAATTCGACATTCGCCAATATCAAAAAACAAGTAGAAATAGCATTTTTATGTGAAACCACTGCTTAGGCATCCTCATTTATGATGTCTTTAGTTCATTTTATAAAACTTATTTAATCAAATGTGTTTTGGAGGTATTTTGTAGATATACAGCCTTCAAATCTGCTTTTTTTGAGATTCAAGTTTGAATGTCGAAAAACAGCTAAGTGTTTTTCGTTATTCGCCAATATCGAAAAACGAATAGCTCGTTTTTTGATACTCACCAATATCGAAAGACGTAAAACGAAAATCGAGCTAAATTCACACTGCCTGAAAATGATGATGGTTTAAGTGTATATGTTGTATTGCCTTAGTTGTGCATACAATCTGATTAAAACACAGATCCTATTTCGTTTCGTTTTTATAGCTCAAAATTTCGTTTTCTTTTTTCTGTACTACACTGGGATCTAGAAGAGTTGTTATATAACGGGCTTTCTGGGTGCTGTGAGGGATTAGCCAATGAAACAATCTGTTACGGCGTCTTCTTGGCGTGCGATGCACGAAACTGTGGGTAAACCACTAGGAACGTCAACGCTGATTGATTAATCAATGTCTGACGTCATAGGGTCAAAAGCCTCTATTACGACCCCTGACGCCACCTTCCAGTACAACTGGTCAGATCTCCATGTAGTGTAGGTCATCGAATTTATAAAAAAAAACGAAACTGAACATAGATCTGTATTTTATTCAGACAGTTGTGCACAATATATCCACAAACATTTAGTTCTAAAATACTTCTCAATTAGGACAATATTTACGTGCTACAAATAAAATTGACAAACCGCATATAAAACAATATTGAAATTTTGTTTCAAATATATAGTTTTTATTACCATAGAAGGAAGAAGGAAGTGAAGGAAGTGCTTGACTCCCGGTTGCTTATCTTGGTTCTTTAACGCCTAAAAAACTTCTCAATTAGGACAATATTTGCGTGCTACAAATAAAATTGACAAAACGCATATAAAACAATATTGAAATTTTGTTTCAAAAATATAGTTTTTATTACCATATCATGACCAATATGCCAATATTTACGTGTAGTATCCAAACTTTAGAGAATCAGGCAAACAAACCATGTCTTTTTAAAAACGTTAGACTATATAGAAACATTTGTTTTTACAAATTCATTGCATTGACTTTAGAGAGCTATACTGAAACATGAATGCCACCAATTGCCCGTAAATGTCACTGTGTGGATCAATTTGACAATGTTTGTGTGCAGAACTAACATTACCAAATGAATCTGGTTAAGACAATGTCCGCGAGAGAACCATGGAAGTAGCGATAAGGCTAAATCATTGATGTTTTAGAAATTTGTTTATAATAATTTTCCTTTTAACGAAAGGATATATACAAACATCGGGAACAGCTAAAGGAAAAACATTTGCCCGTCTATGGAACTCTTTTCCTAGCAGAAGGTAAGCACGACCTTCTCTGTATGATATAAAAGCTGTTTTCTATGGACTTTTCCTGGATTGCATATTTACCATATGACCATATGCTCTGGAACAATTTTGATAGTATTTCGAAATATTAAACAGCTATCATCCGTCAATAAAATTAACAGCCAGTGAAAGCGAAAAAAGAATAGAAATTGTCGGGGGTTTTTTTTGTTGTGTCGTAAGCAACATAATATATTCAATAAACAACATAAATTTTAGATTTCATAAGAAAATGGTGAACATTAAGTCGTTAGTTACACATTCATATTTAATACGTATCCGGGCGTGGTCTCTTTTTGCGCCAGAAAAACGGCAAGTAAAAAAGTAATTATGACACAGTTCATAGGATAAAAGAGGTTTTAAAACAGGAGAAATTCAGATACCATAGTGATATAAGTAACATATTTGCAACAAAATCCACAAATCCTAGATTTGAATAAGAAAATGTTGACAATTAAGCTGCCAGATAGTGATCTACAACACATTGGGATTATGGTGGTCTGTATCCTGTTGCCACGCCTTGTTTGTCGTTTGCTAGAGTTATCTCCCTATCACCGCATACTGGTGGTTTACGAACTGCATACTAAACCTTTGACTGCCTGTCTACAGTTAACTCCCTTGAGACCAGACACTAAGCTAGTTGACCGACATTGTATTGCCTAAATCGCCGATTTTAGTCGAAAACACTAAGTATACTTCGAGAATTTTGAGAAGTACTTATTCTGCTTCCATTTAATGGAATTTAATTGATTTATTTAGTTTTTTTATGTATGCCAGATGGCAAACATATTATAAAACAATATACTAATTCTTGGATATGGCGACCATTCAGGACAGAGATATTTATTTTCGAAGCATAAAGTGGATGGATCTCTGTAAATGAAATGAAATAAAATGGGGTTTAAGTTTTACGTCCTGTAACACACTGCATGGCATATGCCCGTCATCATTAGCCTAGTCCGAGCAGAACAGTAGGACGTTAAACCCCATTTTATTTCAATACAGAGAGAGAGAAGAGAAGAGAAAAAAGCGAAAGAGAGAGAAAGCGAGAGAGAAATGGGTTTAACGTCCACTCGATGTAAACTAGGTCATTTAGGGACTAACACATATGGTTCAATTTTATTTCAATAATTCGCTTGCGCGTAGGGGTCCTAAGCAGTGGGAGGAAACCGGAGGACCTGAAAACCAACGAAATGGACAGGCGACCCTACTCCTTGTCACGTACAACCGGGGAATCGAAACCACGCCAGTTGACTCAATGACAGACCTTATGATGCTTACCATTCGGCCATCGAACCCGCTCAATAAATTGGATTCGATTCTCATTAAAATAGTTTTGTATTTCATATAATATCAACTCCACTTAAAACTGTTCGGTTTTACAATTCATTATGTGTGATCATATTTATATTGTCCAATCCTTTTCAACTGAATAAAATATCCTTAAAACTACATTTAGTTCTCGTATAGTGCACAACATCACATAATTTAAAGGAGCTAAATCGCTAATATTTAGGATCTAGAAATTTACACAAATGGGTCGCAACGCATATAATAATGTAATATCAATGTATATAAACTGATTTACATTCAATCGTTTCCGTTTTTACTCTAATTTCAAATAAGTTATGTTCGGTGAAATACGCCAGTCTACACCGATAGTATATATTGCGCATGCTCTCCAGATATAAATATAGCGTCACCGTTTGACATGACATGTGGAGTATGTCTTCGAGTCTCTTGTTACAAATGGCACTGAAACGCATTATAGTACACGATTCCTGTACGCAATGCTAACACGTTTAATTAATTGTCTAAATATTGGATATCAGTAGCCCATCTTTTTCCGGTTTGATCACAACATCAATGTTTATTTAAATGTTTATTATTCGTGTTTTCAATGTCAAAGACTTTGGATGATATTTAGTTAGAGACTTCGCTACTTTAAAGTTAAAACATCAATTGAAAATAAGAGTTAATCATGCAGATATGTTTTATATAGGCAATGTTTAGTTATGCATAAAAACATATATAGGCAATGTTCTGTTATACATAAAAACACGTAATTTATGACTGATAGTTAATGATTCAAATTAATCGCACGACCAATATTACATGAATTGAAAATAAAAATTTACCACGCAGTGATTAAACCATGTTAATTTTTGAATAATCGCTATTGATGGCTATTGTTGTTATATACATATCGGGATCTAAATAGTTAAAGATACATTATTTTTGATTTAGACACAGAGCTGGCAGTTCTTGTTATAATAGTTCAAAAATAGATAATGAAAAATGAATATATTCAACAGTCCATTCAACAGTCGAATTAGTTAAGTTATATGTGTTTGAAGTTTTGACAAGAGAGAGAGAGAGAGAGAGAGAGAGAGAGAGGGGGGAGGGTAACGGCCACTCGACACAAACTAGGTGATTTCGTGACTAACATATGGTCTAATCATATTTCAATAATTCGCTTGCGCGTAGGGGTCTTTAGCAGTGGGAGGACACCGAAGGACCCAGAGAAAACCCACGAGGTTAGACGGCGACCCTGCTCCTTATCACGTACAACAGGGGAATCGAAACCACGCCAGTTGACTCAATGACAGACCTTAAAGTTTTGACAAGCAAAAAGCCCATAATATCTCGATTATCAAGTCATTCAATCGGCAGTTCCGTGAGTGCCGTCCATATTCTCGTGTAACGAAGATATGGCAAACACTATCTAATCCACTTAATAGCTCAGCCATTCGATGAACTAGAGTGTCGATTATGACCTGTCATGTGAATAAATGATTTCTATAACATTTGAAAACCTAAAATAGACCTGCAATAGGCCGATTTAGTTCTTGGATAATACGTTTTGGATAATACCTCTTGGATAATATCTCTTAGATAATACCACTTGGATAATACCTCTTGGATAATACCACTTGGATAATACCTCTTGAATAATACCTCTTGGATAATACCACTTGGATAATACCTCTTGGAATAATACCTCTTGGATAATACCTCATAGATAATAACTCTTATCTTGGAAAAATACCTCTTGGACAATGCCTCATAGATAACCCCTCTTTAAGCATACAAATGATCCCATTTGACTTTTAATCATTAAAATTAATGATACGTGGAATACGGTAACATGTTTGTTGGATTAATCAAATTAAGCATTTATTTATTGTATAATGACATTTTAATGTTGCAATTACCGCAAGTATATAAGCTGTTGTTGAATTTGGATATTACAGAAGGCCGAGAGAACACGTCTGTCAAGACAAGACTGCCAAGAGATCTAACAATATGGAAGGCGTAAGTACAGCAAACTACACTATTTTGGAAGTTGAATATCTGACAGTAATATCTGTTAAAATTCGTTTAGTATTTACAATGGTACAAACTGATTAAAATACAGATCTATATTTCGTTTCGTTTTTTTATACTTTCGATGGCCTCTACTACATGAAGATCTGATCAGTTGTAGTGGAAGGTCGTGTCAGGGGTCGTGCAAGGGGCTTATGGCGTCAGACATTGATTAATCAATCAGCGACGACGTTTCTAGTGGTTTACCCACATTTACGTACCTCGCCGTAACAGTCGAAATTTTGAACTATAAGAAATGAAACGAAATAAGATCTGTGCTTTAATCAGATTGACAACGGTATGACGTATTGAGCATTCCATCGGTCTATGCTACTCTCTGTGTAACAAGACATCCGCCATCTTTATTTGAGTGAACCAAATTAACGGAGAGATCACCTAGCGATGGTATTTGGAATTTGTTTTCCTAATTAATTTTAATATTGTTGATGAAGGCGTGGCCATCATTACTTTAACTTTAAACCTAGTTAATTCTGAAAATAAAACTTGAAGAATTAGTTTTTCCAGATTAGGACATTTTCCACTAGCGCCCGTTAACTCTCTAAAACCAGTCATAGACTATAATTTGTACGACTCGTCGCGGCTCAGCGATATATTGGGAAATCCGTCTCAAATGCTTGATACTATCTGATTGGAACATCTCCGATGTTACCACTTAAACGATCGACTGGCAACCACAGTGATTCAGTGAGTAACGTGTTGGCTCACAAACCTGGAGATCCAGGGTTTAAATTCCGGGGTTGGCCCAAAAAGGTCCTCGGTTTCCCTTCGTCAGAGGTGCACGAAGGATGTCATGGCGAGGATACGCGGCTAGTCGTGCGAATAGGGTCTCGTTTTCTTAATAGTGCCGTTGATGACAAATCCCTAGAACATAGAAGCGACGAAGCTGTCTTTGTGCGTGTTTATTATAAAGTCTCTTAACCCTAGCTCACTGAAGCGACGAAGTTCTCTTTGTGCGTGTTTATTATTAAAAGTCTTAACCCTAGCAGCCTTTGTGCGTGTTAATATAAAGATTCCTAAGTATAACTACTGTGGTTGCGGATAAACGTACCCTTAAAATGTACATTTTTGTCTGTAGTAAAGATGACGAGAGACGCTTTATAAAGTGGCTTTACCAATTAACATCACCACGTGTGTTTTTGTTATCTGTAGATATTGTTGGTGTTTGTATATGTAGATACACATATAACACGCGTATGTTTTAATCTGTAGGTAAAGATATTGTTGTTAGATAACACGTGGGTATCTTGTATCTGTAGGTAAAGATATTGTTGTGAGATGACACGTGTGTATTTTGTATCTTTAGGTAAAGATATTGTTGTTAGATAACACGTGTGTGTTTGTATCTGTAGGTAAAGATATTGTTGTTAGATAACACGTGGCTATCGTGTATTTGCAGGTAAAGATATTGTTGGTGTTGTGTTTAATATTGAAATGTTGTAACTGCTGGGTAAATCAATATGATGGACCACTATCGTATGAATGTCTTCCCGGACAAGTGCTTACTAAAATATTCAGTCAACATAATAATTATTATCAGGACAGACAATGGGATTTCCAGTGCGCCAACACGGGTGTTTTAGCACCATCGGGTTCATGCCACTGGACTAGTAAGTAAGCTTATTCAAATCCAAGGCTTTGGAATTTTGACAACTGAAGCCTTCTTATCAAACGTTTAAATTGTCTATAGTATTCCTTTTCGTATCGGTTAATGTCGTCTTTCCATGTACGCTTTGTTTGTCCAGTCAAGTTTGTCAAGTTTGTCAAGCCGCCGTTGAACTGAATTAGGATTTATTCTCCTATTTGCTGATTCCCCTTTTCAGTGGTGCAGGACGGAGGGCCTGACAAGGAGGTCCCGTTTACACATTGCCGTGCACATAAAAGCTACCTTGGCAGCTGAAATTCGATATAAGAGTAGGCCTTAGTGCCACTGTCTTGTCAAATTGTCCCTCATAGAACATTGCATGGCACAACAATGCAAAACAACTGTCAAAAAACTAATGTTTACTATCTACAAAATGATCAACATTGTCACATTTTCCGCCAGGTGTAAGCATTGACACCCAAGCCCTTTACGCTCACCCCCCAAACCCAAACACAATACCCCACCTCCCTAGACAATACCCCCACCTCCCTAGACAATACCCTCACCTCCCTAGACAATACCCCCACCTCCCTAGACAATACCCCCACCTCCCTAGACAATACCACCACCTCCCTAGACAATACCTCCACAGCCCTAGATAATACCCCCACGTCCCTACTTATAAGATGGTCACTTTTCAGCCACGTGTTTTTGTCCTCCCCCCCCCCCCCAACCTACAGTTTTCCACCGCCATCCCGCCCTCTCCTCTGCACAACAAAACGATTGTCCAAGTATCTAAATAATTAGAGTTAAACAGTTCTAGAAACGAATGTATTATAAGATTATCATCATTTTATTTGAATATAATTAAATTTCCCTTCAGCTTCGGAGTTAATCGCAATCTAGAAAACAGTAGGTGTAGATTTCTCGGACAGTGTAGCTACGTATATTATTGGCATTATTGGAAACCGATTTTATTTTAATATTTTCTTTTATTTTATCTTATTATTTTGTTTTGTTTTGTTTTATTTAATTATTTTATTTTGTTTTGTTTTATTGTGTTTTGTTTTATTTTCTTTTATTTAATTATTTTATTTTATTTTATTTTATTTTATTTTATTTTATTATTTCAGATCAGGTCAATCGGTATGATAGAGGAATGGATTTTAAATGTCCAGGTACAGGTGCAATAACCGGTATCAGGGGTACCAATAACAACTATTATGAGGATAGGCAATATGACGTCAAATGTTGTGATGTACAGACACGTACGTATCAGTAGAAATGTTCAATATATTATACAACCTATATACACAAAGCAAAACATTAATGTTCTTATACAACATCCTCTATTATTTATTGTCATTATGGAGAGCCGCGTTTAAGAGGTAGGTTCGCTAAACCAGAAGATATCGTGTTCGTTCCCGGTGTTGGCCAAGAATATTACCGCAGTGTTCACAGTTTTAGCAATTTTATGGCCTCGACCTTATATTATTTTCAAAAGCATAAGCAAAGTAATACTACACACATATATGATAGTTTGATATATTAAAATGACCGATAGGTTAACAAAATATAAAGACTGGTCATTTACTTTTTTGTTTTTCAAAACCACATCATTTCCTCTCTCTATTTTCAAACTGATAACATAATTGCGGTTTAATTAAATAAAATGAAAATTTACCAGATATGATGTCAGAGCTTGCTGTCTAAATTAGGCATGTATATCATGTTATTTTAAACATTCGTTTTAGCCTTCAGTAAATCTTTAGATGTACATTTAATTCTGAAGGGAACATGATGTGACGTTTCCATCAGCTAGCTCGGGTTTGAGATAAACTAAAAGATATGTTATTTTTAAGTTGATAGATATATGCTCGTAAACTTTGTATCCTGCTTTACTTAAAAAAGTATTTGAGAAGAACAGTGTGTAGCTGAAGTAATATTGGCGTCTGTAGAGAAGTCTCATTCTAAGCTGAATATTTATGTAAATAACGTGAAATATAAGATTTAAGAGTTGAGACATCATATTGGAACTCACGTGCGCGCTGTGTCATAAGACCTGTCATTGAGTCAACTGGCGTGGTTTCGAACCCCCGTTTGTAGCCTGTCAAACCTCGTGGGTTTTCTCCTGGTCCTCCGGTTTCTTCCCACTGCTAAAGACCCCCTACGCGAAAGCGAATTATTGAAATAAAATTAAACCACATGTTAGTCCCGAAATGACCTAGTTTGTGTCGAGTGGACGTTAAACCCCATTCCTCTCCCTCTCTATAGGAACTCATACCTAAACGACCAGTGGCGAAACAAGAAATATGTAGCGGTGTTGACGTTGCACGTTGTATTTGGTAAGATCTTTGTTCCGCGTCCAAATACCATCAGCTATGCAACACATTGACGTACATCTAAACTAACCTTTGACGATTGGAATTCGTATCGCCGTTGTCCAGGCAACGTTTTCCTCGTAGCACACTGTATGACGTACGCCTATCATCATTAGTCCAGTCAATGCACAAAAGTAGGATGTTAAACCCACACAGCTCACGCAAACAATTTTAATAGTGTTCTTAACCATTTTAACCAAGATTATGTATATCATTTCTGTTTCAGCGGCCACGTCAAATTTATGTACAATGAGTCAATTTGTAAATAGATATGATCAAGCGTTTGCTTACGATATCCCGTCGCATAAATACCTAACCGGGATATACAGCGAGAACAATGATTATTATGAGTAAGTACGACAAAACATCCCACATTTATCACAGTATCTCACAATATCTAAAATCTCACAATATTACGATATCTAAAATCTCACAATATCTGAAAGTATCACATTATCTAACATCTCTCAATATTACGATATCTAAAATTTCACAATATCTCAAAGTATCACATTATCTAACATTTAACAATTTTTAACATATCACAATATTACGATAACTAACATCGCACAATATCTCAAAGTATCACAATATCTAACATATCACAATATTCAACATATCACAATATTACGATATCCAACATCGCACAATATCTCAAAGTCTGTCTGACTATATCGTATAAATATTGTACTGACTACCTTTATGTGTGGTAATGAGACTATGTTTATATATGGTACTGAGACTACGTTTATGTATGGCACTGAGACTATGTTTATATATGGTACTGAGACTATGTTTATATATGGTACTGAGACTATGTTTATATATGGTACTGAGACTATGTTTATATACGGTACTGAGACTGTTTATATATGGTACTGAGACTATGTTTATATATGGTACTGAAATTCTGTGTCTTCGATGTTTTTAAAAGAAGGCTATATCTAGTAACTATCCATTTGTTAGAATATACAATAGTATTACCATTTCCTTCACTACCATGTGGGTCACTTCCTTTAATACCAAGTGGGCCATCTCCTTTAATACCAAGTGGACCATCTCATTTAAGACTACGTGGAACACATCCTTTAATATTATTTGAATTATCTTCCTTAACACCAGATGGACCATGTCCTTTAATACCATGTGGGCCACCGCCATTAATACCATTTGGGACACCTCCTTTAATATCAACTGGACCATCTCAATTAAATAGCAAGTGGACGACAACCTTTAACACTAGGTGGACCATGTCCGTTATAATACCTGCTGGGCAATCTCCTCTAATACCAGCTGGCCCATCACCTTTAATACTAAGTGGGCCGTGTTCGTTAATACCTGCTCCTTTAATAACATGTTGACCATCATCTCCCTTACTATGTTTTCTGTTTGTTTTCAGAGATCGACGTTTTAAGTTCTATCTATGCGATCGTCCAGAATGATGATTTGGAATTGCTAATCCAGAATGATACTTTGCAAGCCTCTCTTTAAGAGAATGATAAAATAAAAATGCATTTCAAATTTGTTGTTGTTTTGTTTGTTGTCATGGTTCAGGTGCTACAATTATCTGTTAGCTACGTGAACTCAATTAATACAAAAGGTGATACTCAGTGTTCTAAGAGAGCAAGCATACACAGGCCCGTGGACGACACCCGTTTATACTGTATAATGCCCCCCCCCCCCAATTGAAATTGATATTTACATCTAAATAATTCAAAGTAGATAATAAGTCGTTTAGAAATCGTTTTAATTGATTATCTATACAAATGAGTATATTGTTTCATCTAGAAATCCCATTGTTAAATGGTCCATCGCTATATCCAAACGGCGTTTGAAATATATTTTGCCAAATGTAGATATGTTTTGGCAACGTGAAATTGGCACGTTATTCGGGATTCGAATAACGAATAAGAGCCAGCACCTTATTCGGGATTCTTCACTAAAACAGACCGACCTACCGTGCATCCGACCATTTCATCCCTACCCCCGACTGTATGGGTAAGTGAACGATGGGTGGCCGACTAGCAAGTGATTTGGGATTCGCCACTAAAACAGAACGATCTATCTTGCATCCGACCATTTCCTCGTCGGGTGACCGACTATCACGGAGACGACAGTTTGTCAAGCGAATAGGGTGCTGACTGGTTTGTTAGAGTGCATGGGACAGTCATCTCCAGCAATCACCTGTTTTACTTCCGAATCCCGAATCCCGAATAACGTGCTGGCTAGTTATTCAGGATTCGCGAATAACAAATAACGAGTCAGCACATTATTCAGGATTCGTCACTAAAGCAGACCGACCTACCTTGCATCCGACCATTTCCTCCCTACCCCCGACTGAACGGGTAAGTGGATGTTGGGTGGCCGACTAGCAAGGAGACGACTGTTTGTCGAGCAAATAGGCTGTTGACTGGTTGCTTAGAGTGCACAGGGCAGTCTTCTCCGGCAATCACCTGTACAAATAAATATTCATCATGCAGTTATTAAATCATTTTAATATTTGAATAAATCACATTAAAAATTTGTCCCAGATAATCGACAATCTAGTGAAATTTGATAGTTATTGTTTTTATTTATATTGGAATCTAAATAATTAAAGATGCATTGTATAGGCCGGGATTTACCAAAAGGCATAGAACACTATTGACATAGGGCGCACGCTTACCTGGGGCCTACCGAAACTAATTTGTCAGGCAGCGTATTGCGGCTACATCTATTTGTTAAGGCCAGCTCAATTTTCATCAAGATCGCTGAGATGTAAGTAAGGTTAGGACACGTGCTTGTTGGCGAGATTGTAGGCTAAGGTTACGTTAAGCATTAGGACAAGGTCTAGGGTTAGGTTTAAGAATTTGGGGGAGAGGTTAAGTCTCCACATAAGCTCTAACCTAGGATGATGAAAATTTGGTTCGTGATATTTCCTCTTTTGGGAGGCTCTCGGGTGAAAGCCACATTAGTGTGTTTCCTACTAAGGATTGGATTTCTAAAATTGAGTTTTTCCCCCATCCCGGCTGGAGAGGACTGCCCCATACACTCTAACAAACCAGTTATCACCCTTGATAACAACAGGCGGTCGTCTCCGTGCTAGTCGGCCACGCAACGTTCACTTATCGGATGGAAGGTAGGCCGGCCTTGTTTTACTTCCGAATCTCGAATAACGTACTTGCTCGTTCGGGATTCGACAATAAAACAGGTGAGTGCAGGAGAGGACTGCCCAGTGCACGCCAACAAACCAGTCAACACCCTTTTCGCTCGACAAACAGTCGTCTCCTTGCTAGTCAGTCACCCAACGTTCACGTACTGACCTTTGCATTCCAACAAACCAGTTAGCACCTTACTCGCTTGAAACTGACGAATATTGTAAAAAATTATATAAAAAGTACATAGTTAGCTGTCAGAAGATTTCTGAAAACTACCCCACACAACGAAACACGGAACTATAAGAGTATCACTTGTTTAGAAGAAATAAACACTAACTTAATATCTTGGTATAAGCATGATTTAACATTGATCACTGCTAAACAAATATATTCCGCGCGGATCAGCTTACTCTATGAGAAGCCGTTGGCTATAGGCAAATGGGAGAAGGAATAAACCATTACGTACCACCCCGTAACTTAAGATCACAAGATTTGTGCTTATTACAGATTCCAAAGTATAATCTACAAACTTTCGGTTCTAGAACATTCCAGTACAGTGCACCTATATTGTGGAATTCTTTACCCCATCACCTTAAAACAGCTCCATCACTTGAATCTTTTAAAACAAAACTTAAAACTCATCTATTTACCAGTGTATTTTAGCTAGAATGGATCGAGATATGTGTGTAAATAGTGACCATAGAGTACATATACGCGCCTAAAGCATGCATTTGTGGATGGATTGGCGCTTTACAAATATACATTATTATTATTATTATTATTATTATTATTATTATTATTATGTAATGTTTCTTGTATTTAAAATTAAAAATTATTAGAATTCATGCTGATGCTACAAATATCAAAATATTTTGCTTAATTGTAATGTGCTGAAATTTATTTAAATTGTATATGACGTTCATTTGAGAAAAAAAATAAATAAATAAATAAAAATAAATAAATGTACAGTATATAAACTAGGGAGTTGAGTCTGTCAGAACAGGCCTTGTTGGAAAGTAGGCCTATCAATCAGTGAAATAGATATATTTTCCCTATTGCGTGAAGTTGTGCAACTTTTATCCTTCAATAGGTAAACTGTTTGTATATTTATAGCATGTTGTTTAAATGCAATATTATACACTACAGTTATATTTTTTCTTCCAAAGATTATTTTATTTATGTAGAACTGTCACCATTCTAATTATTATATTTAAACTGTACAATACCAATGAAAGAATACCAATATGTCGGGGTCGGGGCATCGTCGTATAGACATAGCATGCCCAGCGGGTCGGGGGATAGGGGGGGGGGGGGGCAATAAGTACAACTGCTGGCTTACTGTAAAAACGTCACATAAATTGCCATTAAAGTTTATCTACCGACCAATACAAATAAATATTCATCATGTATTTATTAAATCATTTTAATATTTGAATAAATCACATTAAAAATTTGTCCAAGATAAATCGAGAATCGAGTGAAATTTGATAGTTATTATTTTTATTTATATTAGAATCTAAATAATTAAAGATGCATTGTATAGGTCGGGATTTACCAAAAGGCATAGAACACTATTGACATAGGGCGCACGCTTACCCGGGCCCTACCGAAACTAATTTGTCAGGCAAGTATAGGGCCCGGGGATATGCCAGGGGGTGGGGGCGGACTAGTGAGTGAGTCAAGTGGGTGTTTTAATTGCCCGCTTGTACGTGACAAGGTGTAAAGTCGCCTGTCCAGCCTCGTGAGTTTTCTACGGGTCCCCGGTTTCATCCCACCGCTAAAGACCCCTACAGGCAAGCGAATTACTGAAATAAAATTGAAACATATTTAGTCCCGAACTGACCTAGTTTTTACCGAGTGGAGGTTAAACCACCGCTCTCTCTGTAGAACTATGCGATCGCCCAATACCATTTTCACGATAGTCTCGATTTTCAGTTCCTAAATCCACAGCCTCCGTGAGTGGCGTCCCTATTATCGTTTAATATTGTCTATTCCCATTGTTTAATCCACTCAATATCTCGGCCATCGTATGGTCTAGAGAGTTGTTAAGGGCTTGGCATGTGAATAAATGTCTAAATAAAGCTACATAAACAATATTCTGTTAGAATTGTAATCATTAAAATAATAATTCATGGAATACGATAACGGATTTTATTTGTACAGGTGATATAAGATTATCGAGTTTAATAATATTAAACTTGTTTTTATTGCTTTATGATATTTTAATGTTGCAATGAACTTACCTATATAAACTGTTTGTGAATTTGAACAATTCAGAATCCTGAGAGAAGTTTGAATAGAAGTGAAGTCTATCAACTGATCGATCAATATGGAAAGCGTAAGTATCATTAGTTGTAATTCAATATTTTGATGGGTGTGATTGTTGATTCTTGTAGATTATTGTAGGTGTGATAGTTGACTGCTTTAGATTCCTGTAGGTGTGGTTGTTTATTGTGTTAGATTCTTGAAGCTGTTGTATTTAAAATGTTACTAGAACTGTTCACAAGAAGATATGTGTAATTCATTTGATATGTCATATCATATACTCAGCTAATTGTAAAAATCACGAAGAACAAATCTACTCAGATTAGAATATTTTCCACAAGCCCCCGTTAACTCATTGAAAACCTTTATAGGTTATAAATGTGTATTACGCCGGTATGACGTTTGAATTTCGATGACAATTAGGCGGAAAGACCATTGTCCAGCAAAATACTGAATGACATATGCCCGACTGCATTAGTTTAAGCCAGGGCCCAGTTCCGTTTACCGTTTTATATAAAGACTGTACAATTAATCATTTAAAACCAAATTAAGATAGATTGTATCTGTAGGTAAAGATATTGTTGTTAGATAACACGTGTGTGTTTTGTATCTGTAGGTAAAGATATTGTTGTTAGATAACACGTGTGTATTTTGTATCTGTAGTTAAAGATCTTGTTGTTAGATAACACGTGTGTATCTTGTATCTGTAGCTAAAGATATTGTTGTTAGATAACACGTGTGTATCTTGTATTTGTAGCTAAAGATATTGTTGTTAGATAACACGTGTGTATCTTGTATCTGTAGAGCTAAAGATCTTGTTGTTAGATAACACGTGTGTATCTTGTATCTGTAGCTAAAGATCTTTTTGTTAGATAACACGTGTGTATCTTGTATCTGTAGCTAAAGATATTGTTGTTAGATAACACGTGTGTATCTTGTATCTGTAGCTAAAGATATTGTTGTTAGATAACACGTGTGTATTTTTTATTTGTAGGTGAAGATATTGTTAGTGCTGTGTTTAATATTGAAATGTAACTGCTGGGTAAATGAATATGATGGGCCAATATTGTATGAATGTCCTCGCGGACAATCATTTGCTGAAATATCCAGTGAACATGCTGATTATTACCGGGACAGACAATGGAATTTCCAGTGCGCCAACACGGGTGTTTTGACTCCATCGAGTCCATGTCGTTGGGCTTGTAAGTTAGGTTTTGAAGTTCATGGCTTTGGAATTTACATAAATAAATCTATGTGCTACAACAATATTTCCAACATTAATATTTATGCTCTTTCTCTCTCTCTCCCATCATTTCAATCTCAATATTTATATAATTAGGTTTTTAGATGGTAAACACAACTAAATTATTGAAAAATATAAGTTATCACAAACGCAGAGGTTTGTATTAAAGATTTGCAAGCTTCGACATAATGACGTAATAACATGACATGTGATGTTTAAATTGTCCAATCTTTATGGTCAAGACAGCGATTTATCGACAATTGAACCAATAACGGTCGCCGTAACAACTGTTTAAATCTATTAATAACGACTCTCATGTTCTTCTTTACTAATTTCATTCATCAAATAATATGCAGTGGTAGATAGACTTTCAAACAAAGTCCACAAACTACTTTCTAATCTAGTCCATTGCTTTGTAAATTAATCACTTTGTTAGGTTTTCACACAGTAATATGTCTTGATCAATGAGTATATGGAGTCCATGTTTCTATGGAAATCCATGAAACGGGTACATTGGTGAGGGATGCGACGTTGAAATCCGTCAGCACTGCATTACAGTTTTAATTAATATCATTATTGTTTTATTTCAGACAATGTTAACGGATTGGGCAAAACAATGAAAGTTATATGTCCAAGGGGTGCAATAACCGGTATCAGGAGTTACTACAGCAAGTATAACGATAGGATATTTTCCGTCAAATGCTGTAAGGTGACCAAACGTACGTACCAGTAGAAAATTTTCACTATTATATCAATTAAAGAACGGGATTCCAGAGCGATGTTTAGATACAATCTGTGGTATGGAAACCGGTGATTAGAAGAACTGGGGTTTACCGTCCTTGTTGTCCATACCACCTGGTCTTATAAAATATGTTTTTATGCTATTCCAAATACCAAGGACTCTGTTTTGTCGTCCTAATCCGAATGATAAAACGCTGTTTCTTGACAATCCATTGACAAGGGAAACCGTTCTGGAAAATCCTGAGGAACTTCCTCTCCCAACTCCGGGTTTGATCGCGGGAAACTCATCACCTTATTTACTGAGCCACCTGAGCTCCAACAGTGATAAGAATAAAAAAAACTTTAACCAGATGTCCCACGAAATTAGTTAATGGCTACAGTACCGTTCACAGCGACACAAAAGAAAACAGAACCAGGTTAAACCGGTTGTCAGCGTGAATACAAATGTGTTAGCTTCCTGTTACGCTTACGTTTCGTTAACGATCAAAAGTTTTGGGACCAGAAAATGACGACAATAAGTGGTGTAGGCTAAACCTCGCTATGGGCGACACTTAATCTGGTGTGTTTGAAAATCCTTCATTAACGATAGAATATGATATACGATTTTATTAAGCAGTTAGTGTATATAATTTACATTTCAGCGTCTAATTCATGTAAATTTACAAAATATGTAAATGCTTTTAATGGCAAATTGGAGTATTATATTCCATCCCAGAAATACCTAAATGGGATATACAGCATCTTCAGTCATCAGCGTGGGTAAGTACTATATTATCTCACAATATTATTACCTCACCATTTTAATTATCTCACAATATTATAATAGATCAGTCCTTGTCATTATGTTTTCTGTTGTTGATAAAAGTTGATTTTTTAGCTACTACTATGGCATCCTTTTGTTAGAAGATAAAACTATGGGGAATATTAGATGGACCATCGCCTTTGCTATCACTTAGCCGATCTCCTTCAATACCAGGTCGATCAGTCCTTGCCATTATGTTTTCTGTCTGTTTTCAGAGATCGACGTTTTCAATTCAGTGAATGTGATCTTCCGAAATGATGATTTACATGTGCAAGACTCTTTAAAAGATTGATAAATAAAAATGCAATTTAGATTTGTTGTTGTTTTATTTGTTATCGTTGTTCAGTACAGAGGTAGTATGGGAATCGACGAAAGGAAAGAGCAACAAAAGAGGTCCATTACTGATAAATAATGAAGGCATGGACCAGAATTTTAAAAAATAGTATTAAGTATTGTCTCATGTATCTGTTACCTGTGGGAACTCTTATAATACAAATAAGGTGATACATGGTGTTCTAGAAATACACTGCCCCATGGATGACTCCCGATATTAATAAATATGGGCTATAACCATGTATAAAGCTAGCCCAGCCAACTATTGTCTTCATTGTTATATAGTAACAGAATGACCTTGATGTCTAATCTTAGTACTAAACAATTACATATTCTTATATAGGTTTTCACTGGCAATCTTTATTTTATTTATACATGGATCTGGCATGGACTTCGATTTAGGACAGCAAAGTCACTCGGTAGACGGCAACCTAGGCACTGAGAGCGAACAATGTCTAAATATGATCTATATCGTCCGAGAGGCTCGGCCTAAGGCCGTAAATGGGAAGATTGCAAAATCATATTTTAAATGTACAGGAATTAGCTTCGACTCTCCTAGGTGTTGTCTGCGATATCACTTTAATGGAAGTAGGCGTTAAAGAACCAATATTTGAAAACGCAAGTCCATTTTGAGAACAAGATCGAACACTATAACTTGTCATGTCGGGGATTCAAATAGACATAACACATTTATACTCAATGTTATCACACACTTATAAAACAACATCCGGGAGTTGATGTATATCGACAGGAAACCCCAATTTCTTCTACAACAGAACAAAACGTCACAATAAAATTTCCCATGTCGGGGAATCGTATAGACATAACACACCCACGCGGGTCGGGGATGGGGAGGCAATATGCATAAATTCTCCTATCAGGACACCTACATTCAATGTTATGGGAATGTTTTATGGGTCGTCTCATTGGAAGACAATAGGAGAGACAAAGTCGTACTTTAATCCCAAAGATAAAATGTGACGTGATTTATCGTATCCAATATACATGCTATAAAATGTTGGATACATGACAAAGCAATAATATCGAACAACCATGATAAAAGAACAATACGCTCAATAAACGGTTTAATCCACGACCACAAGGTGGGTTCCAGTCATACCTTGAAAACTGTACACAGACAGTTGTTATCAAAGGACCCCATCCATTTCAACGGCTTTAAAGCATAGCGTGCCTCAGGGTTCCGTTCTCGGTCCTTTATTATTTACTACATACACAACATCTTTAGGAAATGTCATTTGTAAACACGGTTTTAACTACCATCTGTACACCGACGACACCCAAATTTATATAGCTTATGAGCCTTCTTCTAAACCAACTGAGATATGCAAACTTGGGGCCTGTTTATCAGATGGACTCATTTTATTAAAACCCAACGATGACAAAATAGTCGACAGGAACTACTAAAATCTAAAACAGAAAACTTTCAAATTGGCAATATCTCTATTACACCAACAGATTCTGTAAAAAAATCCTGGTGTTTATTTTTACTATAATCTGGACACGAAAAGACAAATTTCGGCCATGTGTAAAATTATTAATTTTCAGATTTATAATATTGGAAATATTAGATCTTTCATTGATATTGACACGATTGATAAACACCATGGTCACGTCAATACTCGACTATTGTAATTCACTTTTGTACAGTCTACCTGAAAATAAATTAAACGACTTCAGAAACTTGAAAGCAGCCTGGAGCATAACCAAGACTAAACCAAATAAACATATGAAACCAATTCTGAAAGATCTCACCCTCCCGTCACAACGTATGCTATTATCATGTCCAGTGACCGATCCGTGACGCAGCTAACAACTTTGTATTCATCTAGATATTATTGGCAACTGTATCACTAGGCTAGAATCTCACTGGTTTTGCGTCATAATTAAGACATTTTGTGACTAAATGTAAACAAAAAACAAAAACAACAACAAAAAAACAAAAAAAAACCAACAAAAAATCCAACATAAATTGTCCCAATCTCTCAATTGTCAGACATGGTCACACGACGTTCTCGCAAATGTCACAACTGTCGAAGCCGTCGGGAAACAGCCGCAGGCCGCAATCTAGCAATGTCGTGTCACAGCCCAATGTGATACAAGCTTTAGAGAGCCATATTCCACAGCGATGATTAATATGATAATGCAAAATGAATATATTGAATAAATGTCTAATTAATAGTTTAAATAACACCTAGAACCAACATAAAGACCAACAATAGACAGATTTAGCTCTTACATAATGCAACTTTAATCAGTGGTAATTAAGGGATACATACGAGGATTAACGTTGCTCTTACTCTCACCAACTGGGCGAATAAAGTCAGGCATTGTACTGATACTTTAACCATAATGATGACATATTGTACTGGTACTTTAACCATTTATACTATTTGTATTTCAGCTCCTAATGTATGCAAATTGACAGATTATGTAAACGAATTTGGTGGCGTCCTTGATTATAAAATTCCAGCCAATAAATACCTAAATGGGATATACAGTGTGCACCATAATTTTCATGAGTAAGTACTATCCCTGGTAAGATGATACCATTGATTAATGAAGCAAGGTATTAAATCATATAAGTGGTCAGTATTCTAAACTAATGTTTAGTATGTATAAAAAGTGGTTAGAAATTATACAGTTATCATTAATTAGAAGATCTGTAACTAGCTGTAAAAGGTGTCACTACTGATGTAAAAGGGTGACTGTTTATAACACCCATCAATATTGAATACACAAACCTGGTCAATATGGTGTATATCATTCAATATGGTGTTCTTCTCTTGTTGAACTGACAAGACGTCTATCGGTGGAGCGCTCCACGCTTCAGTGAACACTATCAGAAGTTGAGATTTTAGGAGATTTTAGGAGATTGTCTTCTATACCAGGAGTTTTAGAAAGACAAATCAGATTTAGTTGTCCGTTTGGGTGTTTTCTTCTAGTTGCGGATACACGGTGACTTTAAATGGATTTAACAGTAAGTGGTTTATTGAGTAAGACATCGTCGGAAGAATACGTTAACGAAGTGATGGCATCTAAAAACAGCACAGTGGCTACACCAGCCCAGATACATTGTGATTCAATCGAAAAGCAGAAATCGGAGCCATTTAGGGTCAGAACTCATAGCTTTAAACGTGGAATAAACGGAGATGTAGATGAAGATATAGACGTGGATGAACAGCAGGTAAAAAAGGCCAAAACGACAAAAACTGACGATCCGAGGTTCGATCAGATAATTGAAATGATAGGTAATTTAACGGGACATATGAGTGATACGCACAGTGAAATGACTAAGATTAATAATAATATAACAAAAATGGAACAGAAAATTGAAGAAGTGATAGATAGGAAATTAAAAACTGAATTTGCTAATATGGAATTGAAAATCAGTGATAACCTCTCACTAAAGCTCAAGGGTGAAATAAAAGAAGAAATGACTAAGATCAAGTTAGATATCGAAAGCAGAATACAAAGTATAGACTGTGGTGATCGCGAATGTGGTGCGTTAAAAGAAGTTAAGACTATCAGAGAGGGAATTACTAGGGACATAAAACATTTAGAAAAGGATTTGGAAGATTTAAAAGTGGCTAGAAATTCGGGTGATAATGACGTAATAAATGAACGTAAACTGAATGTGGGGATTAAGAATCTGTTGCCCTGTCAAGGTGAAGAGAGCGATGAAGACTTAGTAGTGAACACTGTTGATCGCCTGTTTGTTGAAGCCCTGGGATTAACTGACATTAAAGTAACCAAAGCATCACGAATACCAACCCAGATGAACAGC